GATCTACAAACTACAGTACAGGATTTCATGCTAAATCCTGAGGGGATTTGACTGACCTTATCATATACAAAAGCTACATTTCTTGTTATATAGCTCCTGCTTTATCTTGATCTTAACCATCCAGCAGAAAAATTTAAAAACGAAGTATAAGAAGTAAAGCCATTTTATTATGTTGAACTGTAGAGGACTGAAGTCAACACCTTCAGATATTGTCAGTCTTATGGAAAACCCTCTAGTATTATGGACTACTGGACTATATTGGAACATTTTGCTGAATTCATGTACCTATAATATTTAAATGACAATGGAATACCCTTCTCTGACAAAATTAAACAGAAAAAAGGGGATAAAAATGAATTACCATCATTTTGTATCTGTATATTCAAAATAGGATAGATATACAGCTACATTCTCTTAATTCAGTGAATAGAAAGATTTGTTCTAATAGTGTTGGTAAACAGGATATCATATCTGCATCTTGTACAATGAATAACCCCTAAGACAACAATATGCAATGTATTAATTATTGAAATTGTTCTACTAATTGGATTTGAAACTGTCTCATTGCTATCTGTTTATCATTAAAATTTTGAAAAAAACAAAAGAAAAACCCAAGCTTTTTGTTTTCAGTAGTTATTTATGCATATTACTCAAATTTATGAATGTTTTTCAATTAATTCTCAAGTTCTTTTATTATGTCTGTTTTAAAGTTTAGTGGGATAAAATTGAAGACATAAAATGTACAAATATTAAAGGTATTGAAGGGGATATTTTGACAGAATTATATATTACCATTTAATGAGTACAGACAATTTAATTTATATATACATCACACATATGAATTAATCACCACAAAGATAGTACCAAAAAATTTGCATGAAGACTCCATTTTGGACAAAACAACTAAAATAATCCAATCTTTTCATCTATTTTGCATTTTTATGCATTCAACATATCAGTTTCAAAAATTTATTTATATTGTAGACTTTCATGGGTTCTCTGTTCACCTTCAACAATACAGTGATCTGCAAATACTTGATAAATACTTTTTCTTTAATTCATTGACGTGACATTTAGATGATTGCCATTGAAATGTGATTGAACTTCATATTAATTATTTATACTCAGCTATGGTGCTTATTTAAAAAATCTAACCTGTTCCAATTTCCTTCTGCATAAGTAGCCTAAGAAATGAGCATTAATTAGGTGTATTTACCAAATAAACAGATTGCCTTTGATTTTCAAAGGCCTCTATTACAAAAATAAGTAAGAGATGATCACTTCTCTGCAGGAACTTGCTGGTTAAAAAACTGATTACCCTTTAGGGCCGGCCAAATGGCTTAGTGGATTAAAGTGACTGCTTAGGCAGACACAGTGGCCAAAGTTCATCCCCAGCATGTGTGTTGCCCCACCCCTGGGGCATGCTGAGAGGGTGATGGAGAATGGGCATGGTGGCACGCCTGTAATTCCAGCATTTGGGAGGCTGAACACAGGCAGATCACTATGAGTCCAGTATACATAGTGAGATCCTGAAGACCCTCTAGACCCTTACTAAAATACAAAAAAAAAAAAAAAAAAGATTACCATTTGAATAGAACTTTCCTTAGGAAAGCATTTCACACATAGATTCAAATGATGGATATTTGTGCCTTGTGGGTTATGGTCCTATATTTGATTCCTAGATAAATCTGATGGTTGATTACAAAGGCACATTTTCTCCTTCTGTAAGCAGACTGACCCTGTGTATGTACACTTTTCACTAAGGCATATGATATCATTGATGTTGGGAGATAAGATACTGTGGCAAGCTCTGTATAAAACCTATCACAATTCTTGAGAAATCTATCTAGCATTCAATTTTTATACTGTAGTTCTCTTGTGTCTTGTTAGAAAGAAAGCAAATATGTAGGGTGGAGGTATCAAAACAGATTGTGGTTGGTGATTAATTCTGCAAAAGCTAAACATGTAAATGCACTTTTGTCAAGAATTGAGGTTTTACTCTCCTGTCTATCAAATTCAAATTATTTATTGCTCCTTAACAGTAAATGCCAAGCCAATAAAGATGTTTTTTTCTTCCACAGGGGACAATAATTCTCTAGGTAATTGAAATACAATTGAATAAGTCCTTTCAAACATATATCAGATAATTTCCACAACTTCTATTTTGGTTAACTTTGAGACTAAGATACACAAGGAGAATGAAGGAAGAAATTGTTCAGCTTGTAGTTGGCAAAAAAAAAAAAATTCTCCTGCTGAGTAAGTTCACAAGTTATGGCTGGAACACTTCGCTAATAGGTTTTTCCACTGTGAAAAGCCAGATAATCACAGCCTGGCAGCAGAACAGAATCTATATTGTTGACATGGAAAAAGTGGTGGTGATTGGGAAGAGGAGGGGTTCTGGCAGCATGTTTAGAGTTTTGTTCTTGTCCTTTGCTGTGAGCAAGAACTTGAGTACACCATGATTGCAGCCTTGTTTGCCTTTCTATTATACACAGAGTATGTGACCCAGAGGTATGTCCAGGCTTTCCTATTAGGTTCAAATTCTCCACTTGAAGTATTTTGAGAACTTCTGTCAGTAAAGATTCTGACATGTGTTGTTAATGTACTACCCCTTGGAAAGTACTAAACCCTTTTTAATATATTCACATTTCTCACACCGACTCCATCAAGCTGGCACTTTTTTCCCTTTTAGAAAAAGAGAAATGAGGCCTGGGGAAAGAAGAGCCTCACCGAGGATTTCACAGTGAATCTGACCCTGGGAGCTGTCATCTACCGCTGTTCTCTTATGTCTTGAGATAAAGGCTAAAAGAAATATTAATCTTCCGAGAAAAATCTAACCTTTCTTCCCCAGGCCCTAATGGATTTTTAAAATACTTATTTTTAATAAGCATGCTTTTTGGGGAAGGGAAGAACACAAATATGTAAAATCCTGCAAAAGTATTAATATGGTGTCAGTATAACTTACCATTTTGAAGTGATCGTCCACTTCAGCATTATAAATTTATAAATCTCTAATTTCTTTCCATACTGTTATGAATATTCAATATAGATTTAATGTAAAAATGGTGAAAATTTGATTACTGTCCTGATTTTTGGCTTCTTATATTATTAAATGTTTTAATCATACAATTAATAGTTATAATTAGATAATGCCTACAAAATCCTATTTGTGAGATTATTTTAAATGAGGATTTTATATTCAAGCTTTTTAATTAATTACTAATAGAAATATTTGCTACACTCCCTACATGTACAGTGGGTAGGCAAGTATCCTGTACACTTATTTTCATATTCTCAACAAATGAAAGGGTTCTTAGCAAGTAGTTGTCACATTAGTATTTGATAAACATATTTTTAATATGTGAAAGATATAGTTAAAATTTGAGTTCATTAAAATGTAAAATTCTGTTCTTCTCTAGTAAATATTCCAGGTTTTTATTGATAAAAAAAAATCAGTAATAACATGACAAGCAACAGAAGCTGAGAAACTGCGTTCTTTCTCAATTCATAGCTTAGGCTGGTTCTTTTGAGCTCCTAAGGAAGAACTTTCTTACTCTTTTCTATCTTGCTAGTAGTTGTCTTATTTACTTTGCTCTTGTTGCTGAGCAAAATACTCAATGCCCAAAATTAAGGAAGGAAAAATTCATTTAGCTTACAATCTGTGTAGATTTCAGTCCAAAATCAGCTGGCTCCAGGGCAGGGAGGCATGGCACCGGACCTACAGTTCAAGGAGGTAAAAGACAGCAAAAGCAACAAGAGCAAAAGAGAAAAAACAAACCTCTTTTCTGCCTTTATATTGAGAGTAGGCTACCTACCACCTGGGGTGAGTATACCACTCACACCATCTCCATGCCCTCCTCTTGCACAGGCTTAGGAAGTTTACACAGTGAGGACCCTGGCACCCTGTGAGTCACTTAAATTTCTAAACTTCTCAAGTTGACACAGTGAACAACATCCTGGAGCATTATAAAGGCATTTCCTCTACACACTAGGATACAGAACTGCTGATTTATTTAGCTAAACTTCTAAGCTTCTTAAGTTGACACAGTGTATCAACTATTACAATACAGATCCTGCATAGTACCCAATAAGTAGTTAATAAAATGTGAATGAATAATTGAGCAAGCTGTATGATCTAAGCTCTTACCCTCATATACATACCTATTTTAAACAAGTCTTAAGTATAGCTACTTAGTATTTAGAAACATATCACTTAAGGTATAAGGCAAGAATGAGGAAGAGCACCTCCCAGGAGCAGCAATCTAGCACATCTGAATTGAGTACAACCTCAGAGGCCCTACCCTCCACGTACCCCTTGAAACTTAGTATCACCAATCAAGTCATTGCTTTACCTCTGCTTCACTCAATTTTAAAGTAGTTGGTGGATGACATCACTTTAGAGTATGACTCTCTGAGGCTGGCTCAATCCATTGGTACGTCAAACAGTAAATTTATTTCCTCAGATGAGACTGAGTCAAATATCTAAGGAAAGTTCTCCTGTTTATAGAGAATACTCTACGTCACCATATTACTTGGGGTAATTATTATTTTCTGTTTCATGGTTGACCGCTCTTTCTGCCTTTTGTTCTTGACTACTGTCAATACAGCTAGTCCTGACCTGTCTATGAATATCTTACTGAGCAGCAGTACTAAATAGTGATTACTCAGCGTAAATCTTAAAGTTGCTAATACTTGATATAATGTTTTGTTCTCAGAAAAAAATATGCTCAGTTCTTGAAGACTTGATGGATTTATTGATACTCAGATTTTTTTTTAACACCCACAATATGTGGTACCTCATGTGCATTTCTTTCACGGATAAGTTCATATGTTGCCTTTCTTTTTTCTATCCATGTATAAACATCTTATTACCCTCTGTGCTTCATACTTGCAAACACCCTCAACCCCACTCATAACTTCTGGCTCCTTGTTTGGTTCACTGTTTTTTGAAACTCTGAAGTCAATATATTATATTTAAAGTTTTCTAATTTTTTTAACAGAAGCTCCATAATCTACTCCTACCTCCCCACATGATGAATCAGGGAAACAGTGCTGCAGGCAGACAGTGACAACAGGACACCAAGAAATGCCTGAGAAGGTCAGCCCCAACTTGGCAGAATGCTTTCAGGAACTTGGACAGCATATATCAGCATTTCTGAGAAACATGCAAGTCCAACATATTTCCTACTCAAATATGAACAAAAGTTGTGATTAATAAATAGATATCTTTGGATATTAACGTTACTAAGTAATGAATATAAATAACATGATTAATAATTCCAACACTAGTTATATAAATGTTATAGTTTTGGTTTGTGTTTTAAGTTTAAATGACACAGAAGAAAATGATTACAATAAATATCATGAATTTTGTCAATATTTATTTTGCTTTTAAGGATTCCAAAGATATTTTATAGAACATTGATGGTATTTTTAAATGGCAACTTAAAAATTTTAATTTAAGGTGTCAGGATTCATGAGTTCATGTTAGAATATTCTATCAAATATTTGCATTTTGATAATTTATTGCCTATATATTGACTGTGAGAAATTAAATGGACAATTAAAAATTCCTGAGAGATGTAATAGTAACCAAGTATTAAGTCAATGTTCACTTATTTTTTGTAGATTGATTTTTTTTGTACACAGTCCTCATTCATAATTCAGGGGCAGTCGTAGTTATACCCACATGTGACCATAAGAAGAACTGTGAATTTTTAATTAATAAACTTATTTTCACTTGTAAGAATATACTAATTTTTTTATCAATTTCTAGTAGCTGCTTCATGAATTTTAATGTATTCTAATAGTGAAACAAAAAGGAATGTTATTTATTAATTATATTTCTCAATCAAATTCTGCTTTGGATGAAGTACTTTTTACATAAAAGTGTATATTTATGTAAAATGGAAAATGTATGCTGCATGAGAATTAGAAGTACATTATTGATTATATCAGGATAATTAAAAAATTTAAAAGTCCCTCTGTATAATATTACTGATAAGACAACCCAATAGAAATACTTAACATTTTTTTTCAGAGATTAATTCTGATCTGAGTTCCTCTATACCTTTCTGCTGTTGTTTCTCTACTTCAGACACTATTAATTCATACATTTCAGCTGAGCTAGTGTCCTCTGTACTTGTTCTGGTTGGGCTCAAAGCCTGAGATTGCATTTTACTCCTTCTCTTTATAAAAAAGCTCAAGTCAACAACTTTGAACATTGCTAGTATTATGGAAAACCCACTACTAATATGGACTACTTGACTATATTGGGAGATTCTGCTGAATTCAAGCACCTACAATATTTAAATGACAGTGGAATGCTCTTCTCTGACAAAACTAACCAAAAAAGTGGGAGAGAAATGAACATCTCTTTTGTATCTGTATACTCAAAATAATTAGGATAGATATACAGCTCCATTCTCTTAACTCAATGAATAGAGAGGTTTGTTATAATAGTGTTTGAGACAGGATATCATGTTTGCATCTTGTACAATGAATAACCACTAAGACAACAATATGCGGGCTGGGGAGATAGCTCAGCAGCTTAAGTGCCTGCCTGGCAAGCACAAGGTCCTGAGTTCAATTCTCAGTACCACAAAAAAAAAAAAAAAAAATGCAATGTATTAATTATTGAAAATGTGCCAGTAATCGGTTGTGAAACTGTCTCATTGATATTTGTTTCTCAATAAAATTATTAAAAAATAAAATAAAATAACATTTTTCTTTCACTTTTAAAAATAAATAATATGTATTCACCAGGAAACTATATAACTCTCCAGTATTAAAGTATGTTGTGGGGGCTGGTGAGATGGCTCAGTGGTCTAAAGCACCTACTTAGAACAAGCTTAGCAAAGCACAGGGACCATGGTTCAATCCCCCAGCACCACATGCCAGCCGGCCCCGCCCCCTGGTGGGCTGAGCTGGCCACACACACACACACACACACACACACACACAGACACACATAAATAAATAAAAAATAAAATAAAAAAAATAAAGTATGTTGTGATAAATTAACATTTCTCAACTTCAAAATCTAGTAGTAATACTAACTTGCCTATTAATATTTTCCAATTCATGTATTCAAACTGAGTCCCTAAAGCTTTCTGCTAGCTTACTGTGACAGTTCAGTATACACTACCCAGGTATTCTGCCTGATACGGCTTTTACAGAAAAAAAAAATGGAAAAGGAATGCTGTAGCCTAGTATGAAATCTCTTTTATTTTTTGGTGGAACCAAGGATTGAACTCAGGCCTTTGCACTTGCCAGGCAAGCACTTATTCTACTGAGCCATCTCCCCAGCCTTATAGTATGAAATCCTGATGATCTACAATCAAACAGTCTTTACCTAGGGGACATTAGATTGATGCACATGTTGTTTGAGATTGAAAAATTGGGTCAATTTGGCAATATATTCAGAAGCCACTGTTTGCAGCTATTACATGATGTCACATTATCCCCTCAGATAAATTATCTTATGATCTTTATAGCATTGGTATACGTATCAAACAGTGAGAGGAACCTTTGGACTCAGTTATAATTTTTATGGGAAAAATAATGTAAATGCTTATCTTAGCTGAGTTTGGTTAATTAAAAGTGATAAATTCACTGAAAAAGCCATTATAAGTTGACTTGTAAAAACAGTAAAGAATTTGAAACATCTTACCACTACTATAGTAGGGGTTATAAATTTTCTTAAAATATCTAAAGTATTTGCTGCACTGAGCAAAAAACAGTACCTGCCACTTAATGTAACAAGTGATTTAAATAACATTGCTAGTTTGGAGAGTAAAATAAATTATAGTTCAATTCAATATCAGTTGTCAATCAGAATGAGTTATTATATGTTAGCATACTAATGCAAATTATATACACTAGCAAAAGTGAATATAGATATTTGAGGGGCTCAGTGAATGACTGAAATAGGAAAATTTCTCCTAAATGTTCAGATTAAACTGTAATAAAAGTCTAATATCTTTACTGCTTTTATCAAACTAAAAATTAATAGTGTGAACTAATTGAAGAGACTTTTCAGTTCTCTCATCCACTGAATATTTTTTGAACATGCTCACTGTACTGGACATTGTGTGGAAAATGAGAGATTAAAGGATTGCTAAGGCATTTGTCTTTCCTTTTTCACTCCCTGTGCAGTGAGAAAGTTTGTTTTTAATTCAGGAAAAGAGTAACTAGTATTTTAGTTAAAATAATTTATTTTTGTTTAAGTTGGAAATAAATTAGAGAATGAAAGTAAATTTAGTTTTATGAAATTATGGATGGTGATCATAGGGAGGAGTGAAAATGATTGTGGCTCAAAATTAAACAAATATTATTCCATAATGATCTGAATCTCAGAAGCAAGCAGGCCTCCTGAATTTGCAGGCCATGTTACAGTTGGCTGTTACAGTTAAGTTAAAGAAAAAGAATATAAGAATGGATATTAAAGTCGTTGGAAGATTGTGAAATTCTGTAATACAAATTTATTTTACATTTATTTGCTATCAAGAGTGACCTCGACTGTGATAATGATGAATTACAGAGCACAGTGATGGCAAGGCCGACAGTCGCAGTGGAGAAACGGGTAGATCAGCTTTCTGATTGTACTGTAGTTTTTCTCAGACGATCACAGTGATTGATGCCCCAGGGAAAAAAAATGAGCTTGTGAGGTGAGGTTGGTTGATAGCATGAACAAATCAAAACAGCTGCCGAAAACATTTGGAAGATAATTGTTTATGCCTAGCCTTATCTGCAGACAAGTTGCTAGCTCTGTGATGTAGGTCACCAAGGAAATGTAGCAGTGATGTAGTCCCTGAAAATGATAGAGAGTACTGCTTTGCAGTTATTGTTGTTAGAATGTTTCTTTGCATAGATTAGGAAACCTTACATTTATCCTTCTAACTCACTGACCACCACTCATTAGTGTTTTTTGTTGAATTTTTATTGTTTTCTCAACCTTGTGTTGAGAGTTCTTTTCTCCTTAATCTCTCCATTTCTCTTTTAATACTTTTTGCCTCTTTTCTTTATGTAATAACCAGCTCACTCCATGGGGATCTTGCTTAATTTCATAGTTTTAAGCAACAATTCTATGTGTGCAACTCCCAGATTATATCTTAAATACTGACACTGTCCTGACCCACCTGTTGTCTCCATTGGTATATGGTAGGAATCATAAACATGTTGGAACAGTGATTCCAAGTGCCACAGTGCCAGAGCCTGCTGGCCCAACACTTTGGAAGGATGACACAGGACTATCATTTAAGCCAGGAGTTTGGGGCCAGCCTTGGCAACATACCAAGCTCTCATCCTTTCCACCTCACTTCCTTCTCCACTCTTCAAAACAACACAGGGGCTGGGAGATGACTCAGTAGAATAAGTGCTAGCCTGGCAAGTGCAAGGGCATAAATTTAATCCCTGGTTCTAAAAAAAAAAAAAAAAGCACAGTTTCATATTCAGTGCCAATTCACACAGTTCTTCTCTTTTAGTGGCCTCTATGTCAATAAATCAACCTATCACCTAACAAATTGCTTGGATCAAAACTGGGCTTTGATTCTGTTTCCTCCCTTTTTCTCATTCTTTATTTCCTACTTTTTTTTTTTTTTACTTGTTTTTTACATCTGCCTTCAAAATGAGTCCTGAGTCCTTCTTTTCACAATCACCTTTATTGTTATGGTTTATGTCTAAAATTACCACCCAAAATTCCATTAATTGTGGAAAGCATAACCCACTGAAGGGTTCATCACCAAATGTACCATTAGGAAGCAGCCTGCTTAGGACAGGTGGCTCCCTGGAAGCTCCACCCAGAAGGATAGGTGTGATCTTGTCCGTTGCTTCTTCCTCCTTGGTCTCTCCTGGCTGCCATGGGTTGAACAGATGTTCTCCACACAGGCCCCTCCACCGAGCTGATTCTACCGTAGAGCCTGGTGACTATTGACACAAAACTCTAAAATCAAGCCAAAATTAGCCTCACATTCTTTTAAATGATGAATACTTTTAAGTGTTGGATACTGTGTCACAGTATCAAGAAAGTAATTAAAACATCTTTCCACCCTCATCTCTCAGTAACCAGAATGTCCCCCCTTTTCTCCATTTTTTGTT